CTTCTTACCTAGGGGATTTTTGTGTCGCTGATTACGAATCTGAAGTCACTTATCAAAAATTCAAAATGACGGATGCAATATGGCGGACGAAAATTAAAAAAAATAGGTATATTTCCATGAAACTGGGTATCTGGGGGTTTTCTGGGTCGCTGATTACATATCTAAAGTAATCAAAAAATTTATAACAGCCATTAAAGATTTGCATGCGTGTTGTATAATTTTTTAATTTCAGAAAGCAGAAAATTCGCGAGGTACTATTTTTTTTAACTCTTACATAACCAAAGGTTTTATAACTCCAAGTCTTTTTCTGTTTTAACACACAACCCCTCCCCCCCTCTCCCCGGTGGATCCGCCACTGATATTATATTTATATTCAGATACATTCCTGTTAATAATTACTTTTGAATTTTGAGATTTGACATACCGTCACTAAAATGTAAATATCTAAGCCAATTGGTTAGACTTGGTTATCGAACTTACCCTCTGCATTTGCGAAGGTGTAAAGAATAATATGCAAGTGGTTTTATAACGGCCTTCGGCGGCCTTTACTTTTCCTACTCTTTAATTTATTTTTTTAATTAATCAAAACGACGATTTTTCAGAATAAATTTGCTTATACCAATGTGGACATAAATTGCGTTATGACCCCTGAATCTATAGCGGAATAAGTGTAATTTTTTGTTTATAAAGTCAATTTGCAATTATGCAAATATTTGTGAGTGCAATTAGCAGTCTTTTAAGTTAAATTTCAGCTTTTAAAATAGAGTTCTCAAATAGGCGGCGTTGACTTACCTTTTTTTGTTTGTTTTCATATGTTAATGCTTTAATAAATGCAATTTCTATTTGAATGTATTATCAGGAATGTATTCCAAGTACCACTAAGTATTTTAAAAACAAAAAAATTTGACTTTCGTCCAGCTAGATCTGCTATCCGAACCACTGTGTAGGGTGGCGTGACAGTACATCTAATGTGCATATGTATGTATGTACAAAAACTTTTTATGCGCTAATCAAAAAAATGTTCGTTATATACATTTTTGGGGCATACATATATCAAGCATATTTATAATATTTTGGAGTCATTTTAACGATCATATAATTAAGGTTTTTTGTGCATAAATTTGTCTTCCCTAATTATAACATTTCATTTTTAACAGTTGGCTGCTCATCCTCCAAGCAAGTCATTGTCACTTTGAAAAATTAAATTTTTAGCTCCATGAACGTGCATTTAATAACACCAAGTAGTTTGCAAATTTTAAAAAGTTTTCTTACCTGTAGTATTTAACTATAATATCGAGATATAGCGATGTTTCCACAATTTCCCGGGTCCCGCAAAATAAACTTTTACATTCCTAGCAACCCCTCTAGCATTCTAAGGAATCTGGACAAACATGCCGATGACTAATTTTCAACTATAACTTGACTGTACCTACTAAAAATAGGAAAGAAAATCATGAAATTAGTTAAAAATGTTATGCTATATAACTGCTTAAGAGCTTACAACTTCCAATTAGTTGCAGCTTTTTTGACAGATATCCCATTGAAAATTATGTCGAAAAGCTGCAATTAACTTTAGATTCTTCTTTATTTTGACTATAACTACGGGCCTTTGTTTTTGTTTCCCAAATCCATGACTAAGAATGGGAAAATACTGACTACATGTTAGTAAGTTTGTTAAGTGGCCGAGTTTCTCTTCCACAGATGTACTGTGTGAAAATGCCCGCTCGTTTCGGTGGGTATATTTGGCTACAGTTTTATAGATACTTTAAAGAATAAGGCAGTGGCAACACTGCTGGCGACAGCTACAGCTGTGGACTGTCGCAATATTGTTCAGCCGAGTTCAAAATAGGTTCTTTCCCGTACGCAACGCGGGATCCCGCGGGTGCCCAAAATAGCCCAGAAATCATTCCCGTACTCAACAAAATGGTAATAGAGAGCGAAAATTGGAACGTATGGGGTCGTAAGTGTCTTCCTCTTCCTGCCCGAAACAGCGCGGACTTTTTCTCCGGGTAAAAATGGATGTGTCAAAGTGCATATTAGCTTTTATGTGTTTACAAGGTGCCTGCATTTACTTGGTGCTTTTGAGGAATAGCGAATGTATTTTCAATCTTTATATTCTTAAAATCAAATTTGTGAAACAAAAATTCAATTTCCAAGAGTTTGCGTTTAAGTGACAAAAACCAAAACAACGCGAATCAATTGTTTCTTAAATTCTGGGCACGAAATGTGGTTTTTCGCGTTCCCGTACTTCTGGATTATGTTCCATTTTTGAGAGCAAAATTTTCGCTTATTCTCTAATTACCGGATCCGCTCCGGATTGTTAGGGAAAGAACCTAATAATGCTTTCCATAAGGAGTGTATTAATAATTTGATGATGGCGCAGTGTTTCGCACACGATAACATCAAGGCGCGTTATACAAATCGGAGGAGAAGCTCGGCCAAACACTAACACATTGCATAAAATTGTTATTATTAAAGCGGTTTCTTCCACAAAGGTTTTGCAAACAGATCGATAGATTTTTCATTGAAAATGTCTGACAAATGCTAAATGCCGGTTTCACAAAAGCAATTTAAGTGAAAAATTATTTTTTATAATTATAAGCTTTTATTTAACTTGGTCATCCCGCGCAAATCGCGGAAATTTCCAATCGATTTTAAACTGACTTCCCGACAAGTTAGAGACTTGAAATTTTCAGCATAGTTCCAATCACGATGACAATGCAATTTAAAATGTAAATGAATTCTCCATATGGTCCAGGGGTCTTGATTCAAAGGCGGTAAAAAAATAGTAAGATTTATGGCTAACAGAGCGTAATTGCCAAAGAACGTAAAACCACTTTAAAATTGTTAAAGCTGCCGGCGTGCCGCGGCGGTAGTGTAGCAAAGTTATTCCTAGTCTAGATATGAACCTCGTTGTAGGCATCATTACAAGGAGATACAATTAAAAGACTCCAGATGTCGCCCCGCCAGAAGAAGTTAAATATTGCGCCTAAATATATGCCATGCTACAGCGGAAATTGAGGACACGCCATTTCTTTAAATAAAATTAACTGCTGCTATATGTACATATGTATGTTTATACAAAACGTAAGCAAACAACATTTTGCTTGCCAAGTCTTGTTCTCTTTCATTGCAAGTTGAATTATTTTAATATCTATTGAAAAATTTTGTACATAAAATAAAATAACACTTTTTAATATACAACGCTTTTATAAATGGACTAAAAATTATAAAATAAAATAATGTAAAAAAAATATTTTTTAAAAACAAGCTTTTATTTAATCTGTACAATCAAAGGAATAAAATGAACTAGTGTAACAAAAGATTTTTTAGCAAGAAAATTTTGTCAAAACTGCACTAAAATGAATAAAATAAAATAAGTTAAGGTCTCGTTAAAGTTACTAAAAGCCATTTAGTGAAAGGAGTTATTCAAACTCTAATGAAAATTACTAACAATTTGTACTAATTTACTTCGTTTTTAAAAAAGCTTGTCGGCGAATTCAGCGTACATGCATAATTGGTTAGGTATGTATGTATATGTATGTATGCAGATATTTAAATTCCGGTTTGCTATTCGCGCGACAAGCTTTTTTAAAAACGAAGTAAATTAGTACAAATTGTTAGTAATTTTCATTAGAGTTTGAATAACTCCTTTCACTAAATGGCTTTTAGTAACTTTAACGAGACTTTAACTTATTTTATTTTATTCATTTTAGTGCAGTTTTGACAACATTTTCTTGCTAAAAAATCTTTTGTTACACTAGTTCATTTTATTCCTTTGATTGTACAGGTTAAATAAAAGCTTGTTTTTAAAAAATATTTTTTTACATTATTTTATTTAAATTGATTTCGAGAAACTGGCTCAAACAAAAACAAATACTTTAGCTAAGTTGAATGAAAAAACTTTAACTAGTAGATGTAGCGGCAAAAATATTAACCTGGTCATACTATAATAACGTACCTGCATACTTATGTATGAATTTACATGTGTATTTGAACATAATCAGCCTTATACAATGTCTCCATTGTGAGATTTAATGAAGATTTAGCCTTCTGACGAGATTTGACGTTAAATCTTTTGAGATTTACCATATAAAATTAAATCTTGAAAGGCAGTAGATTTAAGTTAAATCTTCGTCAAATCTTCAATAATATTGATCAATAAGTACAATTTGTTGGATGTGGCAACCACAAATTCACATGCCATAAGTCCAATGACATTTGTGTTTTCAATATACAGTTGAGGACATTGAAATCTAGCCTATCATAAAAACATGAATTTTCGTATTTTTATATTTTTGTTAGTTTGGGAGGAAAATTAGTAATACATATTTACATAACTTTGGTTGAAATAAATTTAGAAAACATTATTTTAAAAACTTAAAAATTTAGAAGAAATGTTTTATAGTAATATCATGCAGAGTCTTCTCCGCTTTCTGTAAGTAATTTACGCGCTGCGACAAAAAATTTATAAATTTCGGTAATGGTTCTGCTTTGATAACATTGCACCGAACATCCTCTAGAACTCAGTTCGTATTCTTGATATGCCAAAGGCCCACGATTGGATTTTCGGTTCCCTCTTATGAATAAGAAAGTTCTACAAAAATGTTTCTTTCCGCAAATGTTTTTTACCGTTTTGATAATTTTTCTTAAATTCGGGAAAATGATTCGGAATATGGTACCATTCTTTACACTTTCCAAACTATATATTATACATACATATTTACCACGAATAAGAAGCCAATAATATTCAGAATTCATATAATGAAATTCCGCTTGGTACCTTCCTTTTATCTGTCTGTATATCAATGTCCGCAACTGTATTTATAAAGTCATACATAAGCAAACGTCAAATATTTAAAAATGTGAAAGTCAAACATATCTCGTTGTGGTAATGGAGACGGTTGTGATTTAGCAACTGGATTTATTAAATCTTAATGGATAAATCTCTCAATGGAGACATAGTATTATCATGAGTTTTATTTTACCAGAACTGGTGCACTTTTCACTTTTCGTTTCCATGTATTTACTATGGGCGAAATAAACATTTTCGGGTGAATTTTTTTTCGGCCTAAACTCAAGACAAGGCCGAATGGTTTTGCAGGTTTATGAATTTTAATGTTTTTGTTAAAAATGTTCACGACCGATTCTGAAATACTTTTGGTTCAGAAATAAAAATTGAATAATAATCAAAGCCTTTTTTCTTAAATTGCAGATATTTAACGTAGAAATTCTGCATATATTTATGATATTTGAGCAGGTATAAAAATTTTTAGCTTCAGATTATGAGTTTAAGTTTTTTATAAAAGTAACACTTAATAAAAAACAAATGTCATTTAAAACCACTTCAACAATTTACGAAATTACAAACGTACTTAATCCTATAACAGACATTCATATGTACTTCTAAACAGTTTATTTATAATAAAGCTACTTTTGTGCATGGATCGACATTTTTGTCACAATCACGATTCACTTTTCCCCGCTTCATCGGGGCTCTTTCGGGGCAGGAGAAGCGCCAGGACAGCGCAAATATACATCGCTCCACAAACGATATAGAAGTTCCATTCACAGTGATGAGTCATCAGGGCGCCAGCCACATTGGCACCTACAACACTACCCAATCGACCCACCATAAGTGATATACACACAGCCATTGCACTAGAAAAATAAAAAAAATCAATATAAGCAACATTGAAAGCGATGACTTCTCCAGCTTCCAGCTTACCGAAGATGTGTCGGATACAAATCGACTGTAGCAGCACTGAGCACATTAATGGCCACGCCTACTAAGAAAAATAGCACATAAAGGTAAGCGGCAATAGATGGATCAGCTATAAAAATGGATGTTAAGCCACAGGATGTGAAGGATATTGAAGTGATGACTAGAAAAAATGGTTTTGATTACAATTTATAAAATTATATGTACCCCTGTGGTCAGCTGACGAGTTTGACACATTTTGACGAGTTTTGGCTATTTTTCCTTTGTTTATTTAATGTTTTTTTGTAAAAGTCTAGGACGTTATATAATCAGCACGATATATGTAAATCCACATTTCAAACCTTGTACGGAAATTATAAGAATTTAACAAAATTTACCAAATACACCCTAAAGTTTCGATGTTTTTTATTAAAATTTCTGGTATGCAGTTTTATGGTTTTAAAAATTATCACTGAAAATTATTAGTGATACAGGCGACCATTTTGCATTTTGTCGTCAAAGTCGAAAAAGTGGGATTTTCAATCAACTTCACAGTTTTATTTGATTATTTATTTCATTTATTTTTAAAATTCAATAAAAAAGATTATATATTATTGTAAAGAGCACATAAATACCTTTTTAACTGTAGGCCATTTATGTCGATTCTTTACGTCGAATTTTTAAAAAATAACTGCGAAAAGTATAAAAAAAATGTTTTTTGAAAAAAATCTCGAAAACGCTTCTTTGAAAAATGGGTATTGTTTTCGTGTCAACGTTTGCCTATAAAATAATCAGGGCTATCACGGAATCCATCGTAGAGAATCTACGAATTCAAATGCCCGCTACGAATACGAAAAAATTGTTATCACTGAATCCGAGTGAACTCGAAAATATCGTTGCCAGCTTCGAATGCTGATTCGAAATCAGTTAGTGCAAAGGACACAACAGACATTTATGTATCTCATTTTGCTCACGCTGCCCCATCAGGCGCAATGGCCGAGTGTGCAAAGCACTAGACTGCCAATTGAGAGAGAGAGTTCAAGTCCAAACCGTGGGGCAGTGGAGATTTTTTTCTTTTTTTATTTAATTTTTGTTTACTTTTTACTAAATATTTTTTTTAGTTTATTTTTAGCTTAGATTTTATTATTTTAAATAGAAAAAATTTTTTTTTAAATAAATTTTTATGATATTGAAGTAATTAGGTTTATTTCCTAATAAATTGTTGCTAAACTATTATTTCCTCGATTCATACAAAATATTAGGCGTGTTTTTTTACACGCATACGTATCTGCGCTTAAAAATTGTATGGAGCTGTAAGCGAAAAACTTTATGTGTGCTTATGAATAGTTGTCGATAAAATCAAAATTACTTGTTTTGAAATGGAAATTGTCGATGATTGTTTTTTACACGTTAAGCGTAGATGTATATGCGTGTAAAAAAAACACAATTATTCATTAAATAGCGTCTAGCAGATGAATGCGTGTACGTACATATGTATGTATGTATGGCATTGGTATTTTACGTTTACGTTTACACAAATATAAGGAATTATATCAAACTATAACAAATTTGGAGTATAATAAATATTTAATATTAAAAATAATGCAGCTTTCTTCCACTATTTTTAAGATTGAGTGATTTTAAATTTTGTTCCGACAGCATAATCTCGTCGTAGAGTATCTGTACGAATCTTCATTACGAACGGATTCAATGAAGGCTCTCTACGAATTTCGAATTTACGTTCGTAGCCATTCGGATTCTGTGATAGCACTTTCGTAGATTTCACGAAAATCGAATCTACGATGGATTCTGTGATAGCCCGGAATATTTTGAAGATGATCACTTTTCGTGTAAGCTATTGTAATTTATTTATTTATATATTTAGTCTACTGAACAGTTAATTTCTTACAGACTAAGGACAGATGCTTAATTAAAGATTCTAAGGAGATTACGTCTAAAATTAGCAAAGGAAGTGTTAAAATCTATGAGAGAAGAATAAGTGTTACACAACCGGATACATCTTGTTATCGGTTCATTAATGCCATAATTTGCAACATGCGTTGATTCCTCGAACAATCGAGTATTTCTTAAATTACGTGCAGGAATGTGAGCCTTAAAAAAGTTTACCATACTCCCACAGTTAATTCTACCATTTTTTAGATTATAAACAAGTAGCAGGGAAGCACATGTTCTTCTGTCTTGTAGCGATTGTAGTCCAAGAAGCTTGCGTCTACTTATGTAGGGCGGATAGTTTGCAAACCCGAATATTTTAGAAAGAACAAGCTTTGTAAACACCTTTTGTACTCTTTTAACTTTCTTCGCACTGACTGCATAAAAAGGATTCCATACTAGAGAGCAGTACTCTAAATGTGTTTTAACTAGAGAAGTATACAGACTTTTTAGAGTTAGAGGGTCTCTAAAATCCGCGGTGTTCATTTTTATAAAGCCAATCATTCCAAAAACTTTTGAAACTATAAGATCGAAATGCTTGAAAAAGGTAAGCTTACTGTCAAATATAACTCCAAGATCTTTTATTTCTGTACTGCGGGTTATAGTTAAACTACTTAAGGAATAACTAAACTCCAAACATTTGCTAATGTTTAATTTTAAATTATTAAAAGAACACCATCTTTGAAACGATTCAACATCATCCTGCAACTTAAGGCAGTCTTGATTCTTAATAAAAATTTTACATAATATGTTTTACTATACTTTTACAAATATTCATTTTAAAAAAAGAGTAATACCGATAAAGAAAACGTGATTCATGTTTAAAGTTTAAAATAGATTAAGAATTCAGAATTATATATACTGTTTTGGTATTTTTATACTGCGAAGGTATATATTTGCAAAATTGTCCTGCATTTTCAATACATATTTACGGTCACCGAAATTATAATATGCACAAAGATAAAAGTTAAAATATTATTAAAATTTTACTATGAAGTTTTTTTTTGTTTTAAAACATTAAATATGCATATATATTTAAAATAATAATCCATTTGTATGTTTTACTACGATTTTTTATTTTTTTACTACGATTTTTCTGGGCTTTTGCTACGCAATCCAAGATGCTAGAAAATCGCGTTGATTTTTTAAATTTTTGTTTGCTGACGGTGCTACGCATTTTCTTCCATACAAAATAAATTTTCAAGCATACTTTATAAGGAGGAAAATGCATAACATCAATTAGAAAAGTTATTCAAAATCAACGCGTTTTCTAGCGTCTTCAAATTTAGACTTATTCCACTAAAATTTATTGGACTATACAACTGCATACCTAAAATTTTTCTAAAAACTGAATAAAAAGTTTTAAATTTTTGCGTGTAATTGGTAAGGTTTGTTGAATCTTTAACATTTTTATACAAAATTTAAAATGTGTATTTATATTGTGCTGGTTATATAATGTGCTATACTTTTATAACAAAATAGTAAACATTAACTAAACAAATGAAAAATAGCCGAAACTGGTCAAAATGTGACTTGACTTAACCAACCAACGACAGGTGTGTTTGTATGTACTTTAGAGCTTACTTTTTTGGCCTTTTTTGCATTTGTTAATGCCTGTGTTGCCATGTGGTAATTTTGTAACAGAAATATCGGAAACTATAGGCCAAATTAGTTTGAAGTAAGCAACTGGCTATCCTGCTTATATTTTCGATTCTGACTCGTGAAATGTAATGGTGTTTGTTAAAGTTTGGTTATATTAGCATTGCATTTTCTTTAATTCTTACGTTCGGTCTTTAAACTTTTATACTTATTTCTGTGACAATATTTTCCTTACTTCTATTCTTTACTTGACATTCTTAAATGAACTAAGAATTTCAAACATGGTCGATTTTATTTAAATTATTAAAAAGAGAAATGGCATTAAGCGCGCGACCTTTTCCTATACTTGAACAAAGTCATGTAAATTTTCCTTTGTTTTAGACCATAGCCCATCGTATGGTACCACAGGCTTTTGTGTCTAAAAATTAAAATCATAGGCCTTATGTACATAAATATGTTCAGACTTACAAAGAATTAATATTTTCCCCGCACGATTTATTATAAAACCAATAAATGCAAATGAGCTGGCATAAAGTATTTCCATAACGAGCGAGTAATAATAGGTAGTGTTCTCCAATTTGTCAATACATTCGATGGTCTGGAAGTGCAAAGAATATGGATTTAATAGCAATCAATTTCGAAATTATTTACGTATGTATGTATATATCTGCATGTATGTAGGTTTGTAGTTAAGCATGTATCTGATTTCAGAAAGAAATTTCACTCACTCCATCCATTTTATAAATGCTTTCTTGTTGTTCATAAACAATTTGACAGATTTGTTTGTGTTCACCAGGATGCTCATTAATAAATGCCGCCACGCTGTTAATAATATGTGGAAACCACATATAGAGACCGTTAGTCACTACATACAACCAAAATTGCATATTGCAAACGATCATTGTAATACGCAAATATTTCCGCTGAAATAATGGTACAGTTTGATTCCACATTGTTTGCAAAAACAGAAGGGCGAAATTTGAATTCGATTCAAATTTACTGTTAAATTGTAATGTAGTAATCGTGGTGTCATCATCTGGCAGAATATGTGTAATCTGCGATATGTGTAAATAAAAAAATAAATTTTGTTTAAAAATTGTTTAATTCAGTTTAGCAAATTTTCTCACAATGAGCGGTTCTTTGCCACTGTTCCAGCGATGCATTTTCTGGAGCACCTCAATCGCTTTGTTCTCATCACCAACAGCGAGTAAAAATTTAGGACTCTCGGGCAAAGCAAATAAGGACATACCACACAGGAATCCTGGTATGCCACACACGATCAAAAACAAACGCCAGGGCTTATAGTCGATGCCAAGAAAAGTTAGCGGTAAAACCCAATCTTGGTTTATGACTAAAAAGGCGATCATCGGCAAAATCATTGCCCCGATAGCGAATATGACTGAAGATCCCATAATTGCTCGTGAACGCGTCTTATCTGAGTGAAACTCTCCGAGATAGGCATAAATTGTTGCAGAGCCTGCTAGACTGTAAGAAAGTAAGGTAATGCTTAATGTATTCTTAAAACATTTCCACATGCACGTAACACAAAATTGAAATTTTGAAATAATGCTGTATATTATTAAAGGTGCGATACTTTGAAAATTTGGGTCCGAGGTTTTTAAAATTTTGTACACGCCATTTTTGAAGCATTGGCGGCTAAAAGACTACACAGCAGAAAGTTTATTACAATATTGCTAAACAAATTATAATGGTAAATCTGAAAAAAGTTAAAAAGGGTCACTTCGAAAAGTAGACGGGTAGTGTGATATTGGATACTATACTTATCACCAAAACAGCAATGAAGTTAAAAAAAGAACAGTTACAAATATAAAATTATCGCAATGGCAAACTATCTTAAGCATATCGTTTAATAAACTGATATTTGTTAAATATAAAAACTAAGAAAAAGTACAGCATGCCTTCAAAATGTAGGCAAATATAATTTTTTATTCATAAAACTAATTATAATTATATTTAAGAATGAATATCTGAAGCATACCACATTAGCCGCCGATGCACAGTGGTTCAAAACTGGAATTTAGTGTTCACAATTCACTGAAGCCTACATTTTTCACTCAATTTGATGTTTGAATTTTTGTTGTTTGTATTAAATTTTTTAGCGCAAGGTGCAGAAAAAGTAGCAGTTTTGAAGAAACTCGATTCTCCTGTTCCAGTTGATAAATGTTACGTAATAAAAACGAGTTGAAAACAATTATAGGGTTCCCCGAAACGAAAAAAAATTAAAAAAAAAAATTGAAATATAAAAAAAACATTCACCAAATTAAAACAAAAAATTCAGTTACTAGAAAAACGTTGGGTATGGAGTTGTATAGATCATTAAATTTGGCTAAAAGGCATGAGTGCCGTTTTTCCGTATGTGTTGTGTACATGTATATTTCTAAACATATGCGTTCCTTTTCTTTTGTACGTGTTTATTGTTATCTGTACTGTAATGTTTTCGGACGGTACTAGCTCTTACTGCCAATATAGGAGTATTACCTATGTATATGGATAAAGGCAAAGATTAAAATAAAAGTAAAGAAACCTAAATATAAAGACAAAGAGGAAGGAAAATTTAAATACCTAGCCTAATAACAATGGTGGTGGTGAATATGTAAATGAAGAAAATAATTCAGATATAGATCAGGATAAAGGAAAAGATAAAGATGAAGATGAAGACGAAGATGAAAATGAAGATGAGGATGAAGATGAATATGAAGATGAATATGAAGATGAAGATGGATATGAAGATGAAGAACAAGATGAAGGTGAAGATGAAGATGAAGATGAAGATAAAGATGAAGATGAAGATGAAGATGAAGATGAAGATGAAGATGAAGATGAAGATGAAGATGAAGATGAAGATGAAGATGAAGATGAAGATGAAGATGAAGATGAAGATGAAGATGAAGATGAAGATGAA